AAGAAGATAACTAGTTATTTGTAGAATCTCAAAAAATTTTATAAAAAAAAATAAAACCGACTCCAAAAAACCTACATTAAAAAGTAGAAAAATAATTACTAATAACCTACTTATTTATTAGGACGAATTAATATTTATGTAGGTATACCATGATTGATACTTCTGGAGTCGGTGCCAAGATTATGAAACATGTAAAGTTTGCCTGCACCGACTCCAAAAGTATCAATCATGGTATACCTACATAAATATTAATTCNACAAGAAGATAACTAGTTGTTTGTAGAATCTCGAAAAGGTAGAGCCTACTGAAGGTAAATTGTACAAAAAGGCATTAATGAGTGACCAAAAGACAAGAAAAACGACTACCTATGAGGACAATTAAGTGATTCACACACCTTCACATTTCAGACTCAATATAATCTTATTTAAAGTAAATTCCGATATTTATTGCACCAGACGAGAAAATAACTAAATAACTATAATTTACTCGAGCAACATAGCACTAACGACATATTTGCCATCTTATTATGCTTGTCATATTACCATGTCTTTATTATCATCATGGGAACATTGATTAAATAGCAATCATCGTAGGATCCACCACAAAAACATAATATTGTTTAAATTAGTTATGTAAAATAGACCAAATACATTGGATAATGTCTTGGTAATAACTAATAATGACTGTTATCATACAATGAAGAATGTTCACTAATTTTGTTTTTTAGCTTTCTGTATTCTCTGTTAAAAATAAAAAATACATGTGAAAGAATTATTTCGATACGTCAATTAGTTTCCAAGATATTGAATTTTAAAGGTGCGGGCGGCGGCCGGCCCGCCATTTTATGCGCGTGACGTCATAATACAGTGACTGGCTCAAATTTGTATGGGTGGAATCTTGCAAGCTGAATTAAGACCCACTTCCGGCCCACCGATTAAGCTGCAATTTCGCATAAACATGTAATTTGGATGACCATGCAATATTATGATGACATGGAGCTGATCTGATGATGGAGCTGGAAGGTGGCCATAGGAACTCCATAATAAAACGACTTAACTCCATCGAGTTTAGGCTCGTTCGTTTTGTATTGACGAGTACTTCAATTGTATATAGTAATCAGGGTCTGATGATGGATCTGTAAGGTAATTCGCAATAAAACGACACAAACGCATCAAGTTTGGGTTTGGTTCAATTTTAATTTCAGTGAATGGGTTTGGGTGTTAATATGTATAATATGTATGTATTTACAAAAAAAATGTATTTAAGTATGTTTATATACGTTTTCTAGTGAGCGGACACTGTGAATGTACGTCACGCGGGGTCACGTGACCGTTGGCGGCACTCGATATTTAAGCGAACTTTGAATGCCTATAAAATCATAACTACTGGGTATTTTTGAATGAAATAAAAACAAATGTATTTGTATATGTAAAAGCTAACCTGTAACAAAGGTTTCAAGTGATTTTGCATACCTAGTAACATTCTCAATTACGCTGTACGTCGTCGCGTCGTGATCGATCAATAGACTTTAAATATTATACTATAAATTAATAAAACCTCAAGGAACACAAATATTCCTCTAATGATAGCAGTATATTATTATTACCGAAGTAAGGTTAAACGTTATTTAACTGCATATTGGCTGTCTCCATGACTCCATAAGAAGCCCTTAAATAAATAGCTGTTTTATCTTTTATTACTGAATCTATTATTTCCATGTTTTCAATACATCATGATACATTAGCAATAAAACAGGGAATATAGCTTTCAGCACTATCTGTAAATTGATTATAAATATTGATTCCCAATTTTATGAGGATTTCGTATCTTAGTAACACCCAATGACCCAACTAACAACCAATAAAAATGTCACGGACGTTGTTAAATCTATACTGTCTTTTTTTTTCAGTAATCGTCGGCAGAGTTCAGAAAACCTTCAGAGGACCGATGTTTTATGATTCCTATAAAGTTAAAATCCGAAATATATTCAAAGTAAGTATTTGTTAAGTATATTGAGTGATTTAATTTTAAACCTACTGTATGATAGGTTCACTTTTGACCACTAGGACCACTTGACTTGGTGGTATCATTCCGGAGTTCGAATCTCGTTAGGAGCAAAAGTGAGCTTTTATTTAGGCAATTGTTTAATAAACAAATAACTGCTTTCCTAAACTACGAGTAGGTACATCATGTTCAGTTTTTATGAAATTGACAATATGAAAAAGGATAATAATATCTTAACAAAACACCGCCCACAATAAATCAAATTAAAAGAACAAAGATTGAATTTTCAAAGCCCCGTCAAACAAAGGCCACCGGAATTTAGTTGTCAAGCAAGATTGTATTTTGGTGGGTGTCGCAATAACCAAGATAATTGATTTCCAGGCTACACCAAAGGCTGAAATGGCGCTGAAGGCAGGCCGCCTCCTGACCCCGTCCGAGGGCTCTTTGTGCGGGGTCTCCCTCCAGCCTAGGGAGACCTACGTCATCACAGGTGAATAAATGTCCACGCTATACACCTCACGCCACACTGTCGGCTGCCCGACATTTGAAAAGCGCCGAAATAGCTATTCATTCTGTCGACGACATGAATACCTTTAGACCAAAGTATACACTAGATTAGCATGATTATTCTCGCAAACACCAGCGAATTTAAAAACGGAAGAACGCAAGTCATTCATTATGGATGCGAATATCAAATCCCAAGAACAAACCAATTGACGTTCTATTCGGAATTAATTTCTGACGATCGTCAATATTTTGACAATAGATTGAATAGCAATGTCGTCAACTGGTAATTATCGATTTTTAAGTTCGATAACCTGTCTAGGCAGCATTTATTGATCAGCTTTGTCATGCGTTTACTTTTATTGATGGCTTTAATGTGGTAATTCTAGGTCGCATAGTTCAGCTCCAAGCACACATACACCTTTGCGGGTACATCAAGAAGTGGAGAGAAGTCACACCACGACAAAGGAAAGGTTTCCGACTACTTTACAAGCAGGGATGTACTTGCAAGGTAAGGAAAAACACTTTAACGTAGTTAAGTCAGTGAAGAATAGAGATTTAGTTGAACCAAAATAGAATTGGTCTCCTTGCATTTTAGTCCACCTTACGTAACCAAGGACGCTCTTAAAAGTAGGTACACCATAAAACGCGCAATTAAACAACCACACAGACGCGTAAAGCTCTAATGCGGTCACGTATCTGGCATGCGTTAGTTCACCCATACGTGGCAAGTGCTCACGCTGCGTGTTTTTCAGGTGCACGTAACACGGCGCAAGACAAAGTCGCCAAACACGTGCGTGACGAACTACGACGAATGCTACGAGCGACACGGCATCTGTCTACACGACCGTGAGCGACGGTGCCGCTGGACAAGGTAAGCACTAAAATATTTTATCCCTTTCACGCATTCCATACGGGCCATTTAGGAACTCCTATGTCCGTCCCTGTCTAGAACACATGGCGTCGTCACGCTCAGTGAAGCGTGCTGAAAGTTTTAGTAATAAAATAAATGTGGGAACAGTCCTAATTAATGGAATTAAACTTTTTCGAGGGTCTAAAAAGAATAAACCGCTTGTACTGTTTATACAGTAGGATAGTATGAATTCCTGTTCTTCCATGTCTTTAATTTTTCTTTCTGAATGTTACCAAATAAAAAATATCTTATGTAATCATCTGTCTGCGAATAGTGACTTCTATTCCACTAACACAAGATAAAACACCCGTTATAAGTAATAAAATACGTCTTATTCGTCATAAATAAACATTGAACTCCATATAAAGCCAATGTCGAGCACCGATGAGTAACAGACGCCCACTCTTATAATTCTGACAACTCGTAAACATCCTTTGAAGTTGCCTCGTGCCTAATGATGTTCTGTAGCTGGTGCTTATCAATCGATGGTTTACTTTCCAGGGCACCCGCACTCACCAGGTGTCTTCAGGCGCAACACTTCAACGACACCATGACCTGATCCACACTCCGAGCCGAATTAATGTTAATCATGCAGTACCTACCATTTGTATATCTCGATACGTCCTCACGAAAAATTGCAAGTTCATCAAACATTACTAATTCGAAACAGCCAACACTGAGCCAAATATTCATTAACTCTCATAGCTCTATGCTAAGAACGTAGAGATTAGAAGTAGTTGTAGATTTAATATAACTATATGTGATATTTACACGCACGATTTGAATGGTGTCGAAACGTGTATTTATAGTTCAAAGTAACTAATTTGAATTTAAATTACTTTGTAATTTTTCTTTTGGACGCTTTTAATTGTTGTTGTTTGTCTTCGCTGGCAAACTTAATTTTAACGTTATTTTTATATTATTTATTATTAAGTTAAATCTTTGTAAATTAACAAATCATAGTGATATTATAAAATTAGGCTAAATAAATCGTTAGAAATAGAAGTTTTGTTTGAATCTAAACAGCAATAAAAGTAATATCCACATTCCAAGTTCTGTAACTGCCTGCGATAAAAGGAATAGCAAAGTTGCTCCCAAGCCAAATTATACTCTCGCAAGAACTTGAAACATAACTAAAGTTTTTGCTAAACTTAAAGCCACAATTCTTTCGTTTCAAGATAATTAGGTGCTCGTCGTAGAATATTTATGTTGTGAAACAAACTGAACGTTTGCATAATTAATAGCCCAACTTGATAGCCATTCAATAAATAATGATTTCTTTAGAAGTTTTCATTTTATGTACGGTGAAAACGGTAACCATAAAATGCTATCATTTTTGTAATCGAAAATCTAGATTGAATTATTTTTGTAGAACTGAAAATTAAGGTACGTATTGATCACTAACAACGTGTTACGAGAAGTTGGACGACTTATTAGATTTTCATATTTTAAGGGCAACTTTTTCATTCATAAGTAACCATAATTCAAAGTGTGAGTTCTTAGAAGCTTAAGAAAATCAGACGAAATATAACTTATAAATTACCAAATAAATTCTACAATTATAATGCTTTTCACTTACCATGTCGGTGTGATTGTGGTAGTAGGTCTGCTCGATAAGGGGGAAGTTCTCTCTGCCCAAGCGTCGTTGTAACTGCAGCAGGTGCCCAAATACCCAGGGCCGGTCCTAGAGCAAACAAGCTTATTAATAATGTCAGTCATTTGTCTAGCCTTTGCAGTTTTAATGCGTTACCCGAGGGGGTCCCACAGGGTTGTATATTGTATATTTAGACCAATGATATTCCTAGTTAAAAGTAATGAAAGTAAAGCGAATCATTTTGTCAGACTGATTAAGAAGCTAATTAGAGAGTTTACCATTAAAAAAAACCTGTTGGTTTTTGATTACCTGGAAGTGGTAGATGGAGTTGAGACTATTGATGGATGGCACGCCCCCGAATTTGAGCCCCAGTAAAAGAGCTCGGTGGTCGGAACCAGCATCCCGCACGTTTTGTCTCACCAGCACGAACTCAGGTCTATGGTCAAAATAACACATTGTCTACCAATATTTAAAATAAAGTGTTACAGAACCTTAAAAAGACACACATATAATAAAGACAAGGTATCTGCACGTTAATTAGGAAACAATAATCACTTTTAACAAGTCTTCAAACCAAAATTTTTTTTCTGTGTAGGTATACCTAGTTCCTATAGTATAGAATGTAATTTAATAATGGCATGAATGTTATCATTTTTAAAATCAGCAGGAACTATGAACATAAAAACATTAGAAGATTTAAACGCTCCTTTAAACATATTTCACCTTTCCATTCAAAACGTGTAATAAAGATTTAAATTTTAACTTCACAAATTACTCCGAATAGTTCTAGGAATATGGAAGTTTTTACAACTGTTTGCGTGTTGCCCCATCAAACATTTGTTACCAATTAACCATAGGAATTACACACCAGTCACATGTTGTGGTTATTTTTTAATTATGTCCTGGCATGCCATTGTTTGTTAATGGTAGAAACTGTAACTAAACTTGCAGAGTTAAATATATTTTAATTGGCGTTTAACAGCTGTTTAAATAGTTATTTTCCGTCATTCATAAATCCTACAAATGGCCTCATAGATCATGATTCGTTTACTTAAAATAAATAAGTGTATATCAACTTTGAAAACTTCTATTTCATTTAGTTAAGTTGATTATGCTCACACTCTATTCTAGAGATGACTTCACGTTTTCACGAAATTCCTCGCTTCTTCACAATAATACAGATTACCCATACAAGATAAACGAACTCCAAATCGACTTAAATATTCAGTAGGACTTACTTGAAACAGCGAGTGACTTTGGTTCCACCTCGGTACACGGCCATAGAAACGTTCGCTCCTTCGGAGTTGGCGGTGACTGTTAGCTCCTGGCAAACAAGTAATGAATGTAGAAATGTAGACGATTCTTTTGAGTGGTTCGGTTCAGTTTGCATCTAAGTAGGTTCTTCTCGAATTTTCAGAATTAATGCCTTAAGTAAAAGAGGCATACGAGTAAAACTCATGTCATATCTACAGTCCTTTACATTAAGACTTTGATGACACAAAAAGAGAAAATATTTCACTAAAGCAATTTACCTAAACATAATAATATTTGTTTTTTTTTTTTAATAATAGTAAGTAGGTGGGAACCTAAGCAATAAACTTAGCCCTAAAATGTAAATAGGATTGGGAAAATTTCCAACATATTCAAATGTTACATCAAATACAAATAACAAGTCAAATAACCAACGAATACGAAATACCGAAACTCGCCAGAAAGAGTAAGAAGGGAAAATGAAAATTATGTTTGGGGTATCGAGGCTTTCCTATTCCTTGTTAGGTATATGTTTTTCGTCTTTCGTAGAATTGAATTGAATGTATTGAAAATATTTCTCTTGTTATCTAAGTTTGATGAAAATGTTTTCTTCTTAGTAAAACGAAATTTGGTTACGAATATCCAAAGCTTAGTCGAGAGTAAATACTCTTCATTTACCTACTTTAAATATTATTACTGTAACCATTGAAAATTACTGACGAGGGAATGACAGCAAATACTAAGCCCCAAAAGCCAGTTCAAGTTGAATAATAAAATGGATTCCTACAGCGCAGCTTTGTTTGCGCTACATTATCCAAGCAATAGTAGTTTAAACAACATGATTCAGGAAAAATAATGTTTTGTATACTTTTGATAAGGAATTGTACGTTTCGTAAAAAAATATATGTATAGGTACATAATAAAATTGTGTACAATAACTCTCTTGTTCCAAACAAAAAATAAATACCTAAAGCTACACAAGATGGTTTACTGAGTATCCAAGATTTGAGTCAAAATAAATCTGGTTAAGTGTCCCTTTGCGATATGCAAGGGATAGATGGAAGTAACGAAACGTGTTCAGATTTCTAAAGCTACATAAAAGGATTCCAATGAAGAAGGATTCGTAGTACCCAAGGCACGAACTAGTCATTCAATCTCTATAGTCTAGATGAACTTTTATTATAACTGGAGAAAGAAAAGTCTATCGAACTAGACCCACAAATCTCTATTTCATCATNTTTGTATTAGTTTTTGTATAAGGCCTGAACAAAAACAAAGGGTAATATTTTGGTGTTATACATAGATTTCGAATATAAAAAATATATAATTTAACTAATTAAGACATGACAAAAAAACTGAGGTATGTCTCGTTTCTGTCGGGTCTGGGTTTTTTTTGTATGGGGCGTGACCGTTCTTCTTTAGACGATTTGAATGGTTCGGTATAGTTTGCATCTAAGTACTTCTAGAATTTCCTTTACAATAAGACTTTGATGAAACAAAAAGAAATATTATTTCACTACAGCAATATTAACATTTTTTTAAATAATACTAGTACGATTAGGCTAAGCAATAAAACTAAAATGTAAATATGATTGGACAAATTTCCAACATATTCAAATGTTATATCAAAAACAAATAACAAGTCATATAACCAACGAATAAGAAATACCGAAACTCGCCAAAAAGAGTAAAGAAGGGAAAATGAAAATTATGTTTGGGGTATCGAGGCTTTTCTATTCCTTGTTATATTATGTTTTTCGTCTTTCGTAGAATTGAATTGAATGTATTGAAAATATTTCTCTTGTTATCCAAGTTTGATGAAAATGTTTTCTTCTTAGTAAAACGAAATTTGGTTACGAATATCCAAAACTTAGTCGAGAGTAAATACTCTTCATTTACCTACTTTAAATATTATTACTGTAACCATTGAAAATTACTGACGAGGGATTGACAGCAAATACTAAACCCCAAAAGCCAGTTCAAGTTGAATAATAAAATAGATTCCTACAGCGCAGCTTTGTTTGCGCTACATTATCCAAGCAATAGTAGTTCAAACAACATGATTCAGGAAAAATAATGTTTTGTACTTTTGATAAGGAATTGTACGTTTCGTAAAAAAATATATGTATAGGTACAGAATAAAATTGTGTACGTACAACTCTCTTGTTCCAAACAAAAAATAAATACCTAAAGCTACACAAGATGGTTTACTGAGTATCCAAGATTTGAGTCAAAATAAATCTGGTTAAGTGTCCCTTTGCGATATGCAAGGGATAGATGGAAGTAACGAAACGTGTTCAGATTTCTAAAGCTACATAAAAGGATTCCAATGAAGAAGGATTCGTAGTACCCAAGGCACGAACTAGTCATTCAATCTCTATAGTCTAGATGAACTTTTATTATAACTGGAGAAAGAAAAGTCTATCGAACTAGACCCACAAATCTCTATTTCATCATCTGCACTCACTACAGAAGAACGACCCTCTCTAATTTACCAAAGGAAAAATGAGGAATTGGATACTCTTCCCATGCTGGCCAGACGGATTGGGAAGGCTTATTTATCTAGACAAGTCTCTATTTATCAGACTTACCCTAAATTCAGCTTGTTCGACGCGAATGTCCCACTCTCCAGGCAACCGGCGGCCTCTGAAGTACTTGGACCAGTCGGTGTTCTGGTCGTCCACCACCAGCAACGTCACGCAGCGGTCGCGGTTGTAGCCGCGGCCCACGGACGCCACTGATGTTACACTCCCTAAGAAGAAATGGTATCTACAATTTACAGTAATAATTCATCAAGTCCCAAATTGACCAAAGTTTTCTGTGCTGATGCGAACACATATTGAATACTTTTTTGGAAATACGTACATCGACCCAACTCACAAATAAAAGGAACGATACGAAAAAGAGGTCGGAAAACAAAGCAAATACGTAATTGACCTTAGACGTGAGCGTTGATTAAAAAGGAAATTAGGTTGGTAGGTACAATCGAATCAGCTGCAAAGGCTGAATGTGTGTCGGTATTTTTCCGTGATAGATAAAATACAACTATGTATGTACTACGAGTATAATTAGGTAGATAGCAATAGTGCTTTCAGATAGACTGAAATAGCAGGGAGCGCAAGAGATCTACATATCTCTAAAACATAGCACCTATCTGATCTTATAGACTTGACAAAACTGCAATAATTAATAAATAAATAATAAATAAATAAATATCCTTAGACATTTTTACACTGCGTTCTAGTCCCAAACTAAGCAAAGCTTGTATTATATGTAATTACCTAAAATACTAGCAGTTCTAGTCGTAGTTGCTACGAATACTCCTAGTATACTACGACTACCACATTCTGTTCGTAGCTAGCTCCTATGAATTACCTACTTTTTGCTATAATTACCACACGCTGCGAAAGACTCTCAGCTCAGCATTTAGTCTGTGATGATCACCGTCAGGTTCAACGGCAAAGGAGTCTCCGCCATTTTAAAACATAGACATATTTTATACCTACTCAGTACTCAGCTTAAGTCTAGTACTCGTGATAAGACAGCCTTACCTAAGAGATTGGCACCCTGATCACGTGCAGCCCCAGTGAGCGACTGCACGCGCTGCAACAAGGATTCTCGGGACTTGGCCGGCGATGACGGTGCTGAAGTCCCGCGGGAGCCCCCACGGAGGTTCAGCGACAGATCCCCGCCTCCCGCGGTGTTAGCGGCCGCCGACGGAGCCGGCGGGGGCCCGGAGCCGCTGCCACCGCTGCCAACGCTGCTGATGCTGCCGCCGGTAACTATGGCAAGCACTTTGATGTCAATATTTTATTTAATAGTCTTTTTCATTTTGATCATGAATAAAGACTTTACTACTAGATGTAAGTAAGAGACATTAATGAACGGTGAATCCAGAGAGAGAATCGAAAATTTATAGATTCTATTTCCATATGATATGAGTTGATGATTTATATGAAAACTAAGGCTGGGTTGCACCATCTTACTTTAACTTTGGCAAACGTCAAAAATCTGTCAAACTCCATACAAAAAACACCGGTTATCGTTAAAGTTACGGTCAAAGTGAGATGGTGCAACTCAGACTTAGAATTAGTTTGATTTGTATTTTATCTGTTTGCCCACTGTTTGTATGTAGGTATCTAGGTAGTTCATTTTACAAATATGTCAGAAGGTGCTACATTTTCAAGTCTTTACCTACAAATAAAACAAAATCTGACCCAACAAAGTGTAAGACAAATCAGTCTAAGAGGATACAACGGTAACAAGGGTGAACCACGTGCCCAAAGTGTTATTTGCGGTGTCCGTACGAGCACCTGACCGCAACGAGTTGTAAGGTTCATAATTAACTCAGGTTAGTTCACCTTCTGCGAAGTAATTCACGAAGGAAGACCCCGTAATTAATTCATGGTATTGCAAACAAATGAAAACTCGCCTTCGTTGATGTGAAATTCTGACTACTATGGGTAACATAGAGTTTCCCATTAATAGGAAAAGTTGACGCTGCGTGTTTGGAATAATAAACGAATTTGGGTAAGTCACGTTCCGCTTTTTGTTACATTTATCAGTATTCCAACATCCATCTAACTTGTATCTCATAACGTAGATAAGTATTAGGAGCTTATCGCTCAGAAAATAGTAATGTCTTCATTGTTGGTTTTAAAAAGCATTTAATAATGAATAATAAAAAGCACATTAATGTAAGTTGTGTTGAATCATTCGAAATGTCTATCGATAAAATCTATTGTGTATTTTTGTAAGCATTATCGGAAAGCTCCATCACTGACGCGTATAAAAGTATTATTTAGTTTTTATTAGAAATGTAATTTACTGTCACAAAAGTATGCTAAGTAACTGTTTATTGCTTTTGTGTGTGTTATGAAGTAGGAAATTAAATGATGAATATTAGAAGAGCTCACCTTGCGAGACCGGCCTCTGGGCCTGCGGCTTCGGCTGGCTGGTGGTGGCCGGGCGGCCGGTGTAGGGGTCCACCTCGCCCTCATCGCACTCCGACTGCAGGTCGCCCGAGCTGAATCTGCGCAACGCCTCCGCTGAGCTACACGCCACGCCACGCCGCCACGCCACGCCACGCCAAGGAGGGACACGCACAGGAAGGAAAAAACCGACACGCACAATATGTAGCCACTCATTGTCACCTAACTTACAGCCAATTTGGACTCCTAACACCTCATTTGATTGTCATTTTTTTATATAAATTTTGAAGTACAATACGAGTAACATAAAGTACACAGCAAATTGCCGTCAAAGCAACATCGAGTCACGACAAAGAGACCTGGATGAAGCGCCATGCACTGTCGATGGAATTTAAAGTAGTGTTGCCGCGTGATTTAAAAAAGAAACAATCAGACGCCATCTTTTCCCAAAACTCATAATATTGACTTACAGATATTGAAAACGAGGAATACGGGAAAAAAATAAAAATCTTTCGGTACATTATCGTCGGGGATATCGATACTCCGGCAACACTAACTTAAAGTGATGGTCCACAGGTCGTGATCGGCGCGTGTTCGGAGCTGATGAGTGGCGCTACACGTACGTGGGCTACGGACGCTGCGGTCAGGCTGGGACGAGTGTTGGCAGGTTTACCCTAATTATAACTTTTTCGGTCGAAACCCCTTTTATTTTTAAATATGTACTTAGTGACCAGGCTCGACATACGTATGTGTGATTTACTAATAATTATGGTGTCATTTATATTTAAAAAACACAGTTAAATAATATTTTTAAGGATGGGAGGTCATCGCTCTGAGATCGATTGAAAGTTTATTGTTTCGAAATAATATTACCGATTATTTATAAATTTATTCAATCGTATGACATAACAATACCAAAAATGGTTAACGTGTAGGCAGCGGCAGCGTGCTAACCGACCATTCACTGTTTTTTTTTTACTGTGCGTTATTTTAAACCTTTTTTTATCTTCTCGTCGTATTGTATCCATACGATATAGAATGTAAAATGTAAGTCTAAAGTCCATTAAAATGGCCGACGTAACGTTAACGTAACGTAAACGTTTTCCTGAGGGCGGACCTGCCAACACGGCTGGATCGAGTGCGGGAAGGGAGCTGGAAGCAGCGAGGTGAAGCGGCTTGGCCTTTTTACGGTGTTGCACATTTTCAACAGTTAAAATAGCACAGATTTTAATTTGAGTCAGTTACAACAAACATCGCTACCAATAGAAATGAATAAATAGTTGACTTAAAAACAATAATCTAAAGTAATACTACTGTAACGTCATTTTATTGGCTCAAATTAAAAACTGCTTGTAGGTATTATAGATAGTAGGATATTTTCAATTTTGTCATTATTATGCTTGTGTGTTTGTGTAGAGTTATCTTACTGACTCCACGGGTAAGCTATCGGTCTTTATGCTTTTTGTAACTACTCTACCTACATACTTGCAATTTTAAACGTTCTAAGACGTTTTCATGTTATTTTGACTTGAGCATGCTTCGATTTATTTTTGGTCAATATTTTAGTCTACAGACATGCTCAATATAATATTATAACGCTGCTTTGTACTTCATAAGCCATGAAACTTTTTCATTTATTAAACAGAACTATTTTCAGGAAGAATTTTTTAAACTAAAACATAAATTTCGCAAAGACAAAAATTTCAGAAGCTTTCCTTGATTGGAATTGAGACAATAGCAGAGGAAAACTAAGTTAAGTTTTTCTTTTTCTCATCACACAGACTAACACAACACAAATAAACTACTTAAAATCATGCAATTTCAAGGCACATGCATATCATTCCAATTACATGTAATGCACAAACACCACAAAATCAGTTATAACTTATTATTCAGAAGATTATAAAGAATTTAACATGCCAAGAGTTTCAATTCACACAATTTGCATGCAACGAAGAGTTTTTGACAGCTTACAGATTAGGCCGGCTATTTTTACAAAAAATAACAACAACACAAAACAATTGAACACTTTGTCACTATCACAAGCGATACGAATGCAAGATTTTTTGTCATGGGTACGATTGAATTTCAAAGTTTTAGCTTAGGCGCAGACCACCAACTTATTGTCGGCCGATAGTTGGGGCCGATTTTAATTTGTATAATAAAGAATCGACCGATACCAAATCGGTGAAATGTGCGCGCTTACATACATGCCCAATGCCCATGTGATTAACAGCCCGAGCCAACTATCGGCCAACTAAAAGTCGGTGGTGGTCTGCGTCTAGGCTTAACATTGGGTATTAGCCCGCATTTTGCACGTTTAGGCACGTGTTGAATTATAAATAAGCGGTTGTGGCGAAGAACTTTATTGTCATTTTACTTCCAATATTTTAAAGGTTTTAAAAACTCTCCATTTGTGTATAGTGCTCTACTGGTACTAACATCTTACATACCTTCGTTTCAGGTAATTGACATTGGTGGTGAATGAGTTCCGGAAGCTTGAGAAAGACAGGGTTGATGTGGTCGCGGCCTGCGGGCCACAGATCCCAGGACACCCCGAACGCTCTATTTTGACGCCTACGCAATCAAAACAATAATTTATAATACCCATACCATGATACCATCCCGAAACCAATTAAAGTTTGTCACTATTAATAATTTGGGAGTCTGTCTTGTCCCTTGTCAATTTGAGTTGGTAAACATACCTACTTCTAACGAGTGTAAAGTTTATAGCGAAATTTATGGGATTGGTTGTTTATTGTCTTATAGTTTTTGATAGACCAAGTAGTACTAAAGTACCACTAATAATAAGTAAGTATTTATCATTCAATTTCATTCCATTATAATATGAAATCCCTAATGACTTTCACCAAAGCATTGTCTCGTCTTATATGGAATAGTAAAAGTCATTTATTTCACGGGACATTTCTCTATTCATCATTTTCTCAGCTTCAAACTTGTGATGGTCAAAGTTACAGCTTCAACATATTTTTGTTACACTTACAGCTTGCTAATCCGATAAAGGAATAACTTAGTCTAAATCGAATAAGATTATACTTTTCTGTGTAAGGTCTACTGAGCACAAGTACTCATGTCGAGATTACGCCTACGCGTATTGAAGGAGGAAAATTCTTAAACCCTTATTCTCTTTTATGGTGATAGTGGTTATCCACAGAGCGGTTACGTAACGTCTCACCTGGAGCAGGTTAGCAGCAAATTGCAGCCGAACTGAAGCTGATAGGGGGACAGCGAGGTGATCAAACACGACGGAGGGGAGAGTGGGGTAACCTGTTGAAAAGAAACTTATTTTAAATAACGTTTAAAAAAGCAAACACTACTAAATTCTTATTTATCTAATACCATCGTCATTCTTCACATATTTAAAAAAAATCGCTGATAAATCAATACTAGCTGAGCCTAAATTTTTCAAATGCATTATATTGGAAGCAAATATGTTCGTGCGTTAGTATACCAATTCGAATAACTATGAACGTGAGATATGAACTAACTCTATCTCACGCAATACTATTGAAGGAAATATCATTCAACAAAAACCAATCATTTATGTTGGGATCCATGAGAAAAGTCGATCTATCTCAGGTTAACTCAACCTACCTACCATTAAAATGTTAAAATGCAAAAATCGGTTGCCCTGATACTTTTTATTTTTGTGCAAAGAGGGGAATTTGAATTTCAGTCGAGAATTCGCGAGGGTTTGACATTATTTATTACGCGAGCCGTCCGACTCTTGAGTAGAGATATTTCTTCAGCGATCCTTAAGAGCAGTTCTAACCATTTGACCTTTTTATAACTCACTGAGTCACCTTTAATAACTAACGAAGTCTATTTAGGTGTAACATTTTATTGTAATTTTTATAATGAAATAAATAATTTTCATTTTCCATCCCGCCAATTAATTAATATTTTAATCTACTTATTTCTAAATGAAAAACTAATGTGAGCCAGATATATACGTAAAGTTGATACAAATGTTTAATCATATGACCGGAATCTTATAATATATTTATTGAATGTTCTGTATTCTGAGATTGAATGCTGTAAAAATTTATACTAATTGCAATCCCATTGACGAACGAGGTAAGTTTATAATCTGTAGATGCTAACAACGTAAAGGCATGTTTTAACTCGTTAAATAATCTAAACAACAAAAGTTCTAGCTTGGGGAAAAATATAACTGCGCCGTTTAACTGGGGACAGAATTTTTTTCAACAGTCATTTCTGGGGTCAAGTACAGATTGTTATGTTGCGGCCTCTTTCGGGAGCTCCCATGGGTCTGCTAGCTATTACAGAGCCATTGAAAGCAGTTTAGAAATTCCTGCTTCCGAAGTTATGAGATTTATTTCGATGTACAGTAATTTCTTTCTCGTATTGGCAATAGAAAAAAAAAGGATTTTTTGTGGGTCAAATGTTATATGAACAAGTAATACCATTAAAAATGTAGGTTTATAATACACCAGAACCAAAGAACCAAATAAACTGTCATAAACAGCACATAAATAGGTAACATTAAACACAGCTGCAGCACAGGAAAATATGAGGAAAGAAGAAATGAACTGAGCGGAGCCACCCTGTCGTAATTGCATTGGAATGAAACCCCATTCAGCAAAATGTCGTGACGAAGGCCACGACGCCTAAAAAATATGTAACAACCGAATTAAGAACCATCTTCTTTTGTTGAAGTCGGTAAAGAATCCTTGCATCTTTAAATTATATTAATTTTGCAGCTGCCTAAACGTGTGGCAAGTCCACATTATACTCTCGAAATATTATATCGTTAATTCGTAGAATTTGGTGTTAATAACTTAATACATAATTCCGAAAATTTCGCCTCTCAGGGTGACATTGGGGCCTAAAATAGACCTTCGTAACATAGCACCGCTTTATGTCGACGCGACGTCGTTAATCCGACCCTCATTATGTATGAAAAAGATATATTATATTGGGACATTAAATAAGGGTAAAAAGTATGGCCGGCTAGCATTAATGATGATGAGAAAGAAAAGTTTACAAAAATGAAAAGTACCTAAACTAACAAACTGAAAAAGTGGTTAAATCCGAGGGTTATCAAGAATTGACCTGAAAGATGAAGTAGGTACTTTCTTTAATAAAACCTTCCACTAAATTAATGATTTCATGCATTTTCATTTGTGTCCGTTGCTTATGAAAGCCTCATAGAGCAGGTGGGAATCAATACTGCTACGCTAAACTAAAAGCTGAAAATACGCCAAACAAATAGAGTTCCGAGCAAAAGCGTATTCCTACCCAGATTTCAATTTCGATAATGTAAATTAGCTGAGAAAGAAAAATAATACTAACTTAGTTTTGGGCGGTTGATATTGATGATATCTACTTAACATTGTCGTTTTAGTCAGAGGCTCTTATTTTACGCAGAAAATTTCGCAGCATATAAAAGGGAACGCAATGGCGATAGCGACCCGGTCACCCCTCTGGCTGGAGTCCAAATTGAACTCGTGTGGTGTTCCCGCCAGGATCGATCCGCTAAGCGCGACACTTGTACGACGCGACAAAGCAAGAGCTGCGACGAAAACAATGATTTTCCTTGTTACCTGCAACACTTTCGATTTGTACGACGCTAAATCAATTTTGAAATAATAAGTCCATGTAGTGATAAATTGGTAAAGTAATGTACAATATGATGGATACAATGCTGCCTCTATATGCGCTCTAAACTTTATTGCATTTTCCGGACCTTTTTAGTAACGCGTCGCCCCAGAGTTTATAGCATTCCATCAATCATCCTGGCTCCTAATTACATATTTCATACATATTGTAATGTTAACTTACTCGAACACGGTAAGTTCTTTACGAGCATTTATATTTCGCAAAAAAACGTATTTACATGCCAGTATATTCTAAATAATGGAACGTTCGCGTGAACCATTCGTCATTTTGTAAGGAGCACTATGAATCAGTGCCGCCTAACGTTATATGAAGTGAAAAGAAAAGCTTGACATTTATATTACTTGCTTAAGTTATTTATACTTATGTATAAAAACATTTAAGCATAGCAGCTTAGTTACTGTAATTGACCGACTGACTGACAGAACAACACAAAGCTTTATACCGGAGGAATTAGAGATTAAAAATATGGAGAATTATTCCATTGGTTGAACAGGGGGATTCTTTTAAATTCCACCCTTGGTAAATGGTAACTGAAAGTTTAAGAACGCGAGGGAAATATTAATCCGGATAATCGTAGAATGACTAATCAAGAGTCACCCTTAGAAAACATTTGAATCAGATTTAAGATTCTTGACCAATTTCTTTGGTTTTATTTATCTTCATATGTATTTTGAAAGACCGTTATAAGATCGGCCTGATTACTCGGTCGTTGAACAAAAACTAGTAAAATGTTGTGGAATTGAATTATACTACTTACTTATTTAGCTCGATCAACAGAATGAAAAACTCGCCTTATTAAGCATCCTAACTTAGTACTAAGAAACTTTTAAAAGATTCACAAAACTTCTTTACTTCACCCACGAGGAGCAACTGAAAGTAAGTTTTAACATTAATCGTGATTTGTCTTACAGATGTAGTTTCCTTATTAAATTCTCTTGTTACTTTAATTATTTTCCCTCTCGTGGAGGCACGTGCTAAGCTAACTCTCGAGGGCCGAAATTGCCTCGATGTGTAATAGCGTCTACGTCTTAGGGCTTCCTTCCAATAATTATTTACTAATGCAAACATTTCCATTCAATTGTGTAGAGATCAAATTGCCACGTGTAAGTCCTTATTGAAAATTATGAGCACTTTGCGCAAACAAATTAAGCGTAACATTTGATGGAAAATATTAAATTTTCATTAATAATGCGTTCATATTAAGATAAAGTGTAAACTAAAGAATGTTAGCATTTAATTAGTTCTTAGAAAAATATATAAAACCACCTAAACAAGTTGTTGAAGACAAATCCTTTATATTTTGAGCAGATAATAATTAAATTATGTTACAAAGCTATCAAGATACGCTTATTATTGAGTTAGACTAAACATTTCTGAAGCGCTTACATCGGCAGCCATCCGAATAATGCGGGCTTTTTCAGAAATTCGATTCTGTTGCCGGCTAAAACGTAATCTACGAGTTATTTCGGTAAACCTTTACACGAGCCTCGCTAAAAAGAGTTTCTCACGTGTGTTTTCCTACAATACCAATTAGACAACTTTCGTTTATTACTTTCAACACACCTACACATTTTGAGGAACGTTAAGTGGGGAATATCAACCCATTTGCAGTCCGTACCTCTAATAAACATCACTAAGGAAAGTATAACTAAACTGGTACACTATACATTTTTTGTTGATTTTAGCAATGGAGTCATGAAAAACGCGTATCATAACTCATGCCTAAAGTCTGACACCAAGCTGTTACAAGTGCCCCAGTTGTTACAAAATGGAACAAAAAGCGGTAGTGTTCATACCTCAGGTTGTTTTTCACGAGTCCTAAGTGTAAAAAGCTATGTCAGTCTGTCCCGGGTTATTAATTTAAAACCTTACGTACTTAATAAGGTAAGGTACCTAGGTAATAAAATAAGGCGAAGTTGTATTAGGACTCTTTTTAGGTCCTTCTTACTTGTTTGTATTTTCTTATAAGTTAAATTAGTAGTTTCTTTTATTAGGTGATACGAAGAAACGAACTTGGAACTAATTCTGTCACGGATTTCTTATACGAATAATATACCCTAACGGTATTGGTGTCGGACTACTGAAGTAGGTAGGTACCTATTTACTTATCCCGAGAAACGTATTAAAGTGATAAATATTTAATTCATATTGTACTTCACTATCACTACATAGTAGGTATAAAACAAAGTCGCTTTCCACTGTCTGTCCATATGTAGGTATGCTTGTGCGAAGCCGGGGCGGGTCGCTAATAATCTTATATTATATAACACTGTAAGTTATCTTGGATTCTTGTTTCTTCACACCAGTCCAATATCGAAGTTTATCAAACTCATTATCAAATTGTACTTCTTAAGCAATTTGCAAAATTAATTCGGGACACGCTATTACGGCAAGCGAAGCTCCGCGTAACACGATTAAACAGTCCATCG